GGGAATAAAATGGGCCGCCTTTGAGAACCGGTCCACCACGGTCAAAACCACCGTGTTACCCTGGGACGGAGGGAGGGCGGAAACGAAATCTAGCGCTGTGTGGGACCAGGGTCTAGAAGGGACAGACAGCGGTTGAAGGAGACCCTCTGGGGGACGATTGGAAGTCTTACAACTGGCACAGACCGAGCAAGCCAAAACAAATTCCTGAATGTCATGAGCCATCAATGGCCACCAGAACCGTTGTTTGACCAAAAAGGCAGTACGACTAATCCCCGGATGACAAGCGACCTTAGAACAGTGGCTCCAGTGGATGACATCAGACCTTAACCTCTCCGGCACAAATAACCAACCCAGTGGGCACCAGGACGGAGGCATTACCCCTTGTAAGGCCGTGCGGACCATAGACTCAATCTCCCAAGTGATGGTGGAGGCCACGAGTCTCTCGGGTAAAATAAGCTCGGGAGTGGTCTGCCAATCGGAACGATCAAAAACGCGGGATAAGGCATCGGGCTTGATGTTTTTGGAGTCCGGACGGTACGAGATGGAAAAAACGAAACGCCCGAAAAAAAGAGCCCACCGAGCCTGTCTGGAGTTGAGACGTTTGGCCGACCACACCCCAAGCCTTCCAACCAATGACGCCACTCCTCCAAGGCCAACTTAATCACCAACAGCTCTCTATTACCAATGTCATAATTCTGTTCGGTCAGGGACAGGTGATGAGAAAAGAAGGCGCACGGATGCATCTTGCCGTCCACGGAGGAGCGCTGGGACAGAACCGCGCCCACCCCCACCTCCGAAGCATCGATCTCCACCACAAACTGACGTGAAGGATCGGGGGCAATGAGAATAGGGGCCGAAATGAAGCAGCTTTTGAGGTTGGTAAAAGCAGAGTGGGCTGCACTCGACCAGCTAAACGCCGTCTTGGTGGAGGCCAAGGTGGTCAGAGGGGCGGCGAGTTGGCTGAAGTTACGAATGAAACGCCAGTAAAAATTGACGAACCCCATAAACCTCTGCAGGGCCTTGCGGGAGTCAGGGGTTGGCCAATCCACCACAGCCTTGATCTTATCGGGATCCATGCGCACCCTCCCAGACGAAACGATGAACCCCAGGAACGGAACCAACTGTGCATGAAAAATGCATTTCTCCGCCTTGACAAAAAGCCCATTCTCGAGCAGCCGAAGGAGCAATCGCCTGACGTGCTGAACATGTTCCTGGAGAGAGGAGGAAAAAATCAATATGTCATCCAGGTAGACATATATGAACTGATCAACCATATCTCTCAGCACGTCATTCACGAGTGCCTGAAAAACCGCTGGGGCGTTAGACAGGCCAAAAGATATAACCAGGTATTCGAAATGCCCCCTGGGGTATTAAAGGCGGTCTTCCACTCATCCCCCTCCCTTATGCGAACCAGATGATAGGCGTTGCGCAGGTCCAGTTTAGTGAAAAAAGACGCCCCCTGCAACCGCTCGAAAGCTGAAGACATCAACAGCAAGGGATAAGTGTTCCTTACCGTGATGCTGTTCAGCCCCTGATAATCAATACACGGCTGCAGAGAGCCGTCTTTTTTACCCACAAAAAAGAACCCGGCCCCTGCGGGGGAGGAGGAACGACGGATGAGCCCAGCTGCCAAAGAATCAGAAATATATTTCTCCATGGCCTCCCTCTCTGGGGCAGAAAGCGAGTATAGCTTGCCTTTAGTCGGAGACTTACCTGGCAATAAATCTATGGCACAGTCATAGGGACGGTGCGGTGGGAGAGAAGCGGCCCGAGACTTACTGAACACTCCCTTCAGGTCCATGTACTCCTTGGGCACGTTAGACAGATCCACCAACTATTTCTGGAAAACAGAACTAGACACAGATGAACAGGCAAGACAATTTGCATGACAATATTCGCTCCATGATAAGACAGTATTGGAACGGCAATTAATGTGAGGGTTATGGAGAGTAAGCCAGGGTTGACCTAAGACAATTGGAGTGAGCGGGGAGTCAGCGAGTAGGAAGCATATCTCTTCCGAGTGATTCCCCGACGTAATGAGCATTAACGGACCGGTGGTGTGCGTGATAGTGGAGAGAGTTTGGCCATTGAGAGCACTGACAGAGATGGGTTGGTTAAGCGTTGACACAGGCAGATGAAGTTGGTGAGCAAACTGAATGTCCATGAAGTTACCTTCTGCTCCAGAGTCCAAAAGTGCTTGACCGGGGTGAAGAGTGCTCCCCCGCTGCAGCCATACCGGAAGGAGAGTGGTGGAAGAGACTTTACCCGCAGATATTCCACCCGACAGTAACTTCTGATCTACCGCCGGGCCGTGGCTTTTACCGGGCAGACCGAGGCAATGTGTCCCGCCCCTCCGCAGTAGAGGCACAATCGTCTCGTCTGACGGCGATCCTTCTCCTCCCGGGACAGCCGAGCTCTGCCCACCTGCATGGGCTCCTGATCGTGTGCAGGGCTGACCGCATCGCTGGAGAAAGAAACAGGGAGATCCGTGGCAACCGGGAACTGCGCACCATAACCCCCGCTGTTCCTGCCGATGTAAGCGTGCATCCACCCGAATGGCCAGAGCGATAAGCCCGTCCAGGGACGTTGGGAGTTCCAGCATGAAAATCTCCTTCTGGAAGTGATCTGCCAGCCCATGCAGGAACATATCCCACTGCGCCTCCTCGTTCCAATTGCACTCCGCCGCCAGGGTGCGGAACTCGATGGAATAATCAGAAACCGAGAGATCGCCCTGATGTAAATCGGCCAGCCTCCGAGCCAGTTCGCGTCCCGTCACAGCACGATCAAAGACCCTCTTAATCTCCTCGGCGAGTGCTTGGAACGAGGCACAGCACGGATGTTGGTTCTCCCATACCACTGTCCCCCACAAAGCCGCCTTCCCCGACAGTAGCGTCAGCACCACCTCAGTAGAGAAAGTCTGGGGTTGAAGTGAAAAAAACAACGAGCGCCTGGCGAGGAAGGCTCGGCAGAGCCGCGGCTCACCAGAGTATGAGGCGGGAGGTGGTAGGCGTGGCTCGGGTTGGGTCGTAAGTGGCGATTGAGGGGGTAAGCGTTGGGGAGCTGGCACAGTGGGTGATGTTGCCGGTCCGGTTCTCAGAAGTTGCACCTGGGCAGTGAGCTCGGACACCTGCGCCACCAAGGCCTGCACCGCGCGACCCGTAGCGACCATCTGCTCCTCTTGCCTGTCGAGACGCACAGCCGTGTCAGACAGAAATCCGCTGACGTTAGCGGCACTTGCTGAATCCATAATTGAGGTCAGTTCGTTCTGTCAGGATCAAAAACAGCAGGCGGATTCAAGTGCGAGTTTGCGATACTTTAATGAGGTTGCAGGTAATCAACAGGCTGAATAACACACTGGAGGAAGACGTGGGTGCAGTGGTGGCAGGCATCCTTGGTGGCACTCGGCTGCAGTGAGGAAATAAACAGTCCAATAGACCTGGCTAGATATCGGTAATCCACCAGAGAGCATGAACCAGAAGACAGAGCAAACGCGGCACTGTGGAAGACACAGACATGAAGAACAACGAACTGATAAAAGACAGGACAAATGCTGAGGTATAAATAGAGGCGGTAATGAGTGGCAGCTGAAACCAATGAACTAATTAACGGTAGTACAAGAAATGGCCAGAAGAGGCCGGTGAACCCATGAACCGTGACACTAATAGCTAGTGTTTCCCCCTTTGGCTGAAATAACCTCAATGAGATGTTTCTTGTAGCCATCTACCAGTTTCTGACATCGACTGGAAGACAGTTTCCCCCACTCCTCAATGCAGAATTCTTTCAATTGTGTGATGTTTGAGTTTTTTTTTTTTTTTTTTGCATGCACAGTCCGTTTCAAATCACCCCACAGGATCTCAATAGGATCTAGATCTGGGCTTTGACTTGGCCATTCCAGAACTCTCCATTTTTTACTTTTCAGCAAGTCATTGGTGGATTTACTGGTATGTTTTGGGTCATTGTCATGTTGCAAGGTCCAGTTCCACTTCAGCTTCAGTTTTTTACAGATGGTCTCACATGTTTCTCAAGCACCTTCTGATACAATGTAGAATTCATAGTGGATTCTGTGATGGTGAGCTGGCCAGGTCCTGCTGCAGCAAAGAATCCCCAAACCATAACACTTCCACCTCCATGTTTCACCGTTGGTATGAGGTTCTTTTGCTGAAATGCTGTATTTGGTTTATGCCAAACATGCCCTCTGTTATAGTGTCCAAATAATTCAATTTTAGACTCATTTGTCCAAAGCACATTATTGCAGAAGTCTTGGCCTTTGTCTATGTGTTCTTTGGCAAACTTCAGTCTTGCCTTCATGTTTTTCTTAGACAGCAAAGGTTTCCTCCTTGCACACCTCCCATGATAATTAAAGTTGTGCAGTCTCTTTCTGATTGTTGATTCATGCACTTTGACATCAACTCTAGCAATAGCTTGCTGTAGGTCCTGTGATGATATTTTAGGGTTTTTGGAGACCTCTTTAAGCATCTTGCGGTCTGCTACTAGATATTAATTTCTTGTTTTATAGAACTATTATATAATTAAGCAATATTGCATGAGCAAGAGTTCTGTTATACTGAATATCAGTATGACTGTGATTCGGTCCATGGACACCGGGCAGCAGGTATTCATGGTTATTTGCCAGTTTATATCAGTACCAAGTTCTCTAACAGTTCTCTTTAAGTTGCTTTTCAAAAAAATCCATTACATTCTAATTGCACTCAAGGTTAAAACAAATGAAAAGCAGCTTGGATAGCAGATCTAACCTCCCATTAAGAGCAGTTAGCTAAGTAACAAATGTTATGTTGAAGTACAATCAAACCCCTAAAAAAATTATAACTACAAAAGAGAAAATGGCAAAGCAAATCTTGTGGGCCAGAAGGTAGGGCTCATGATATTGAAACAGTGCCGAAATAGCTCAGTTGGGAGAGCGTTAGACTGAAGATCTAAAGGTCCCTGGTTCGATCCCGGGTTTCGGCAGCTGGGGCAACAACCTGTCTTTTCTTTGGGGGGGCAGTCATGACCTAATGGTTAGAGAGTGGGACTTGTAACCCTGAAAGTCACGGGTTCGAGTCTCGGGTCTGGCAGGGATTGTAGGTGGGGGGAGTGAATGACCAGCGCCCTCTTCCACCCTCAATACCACGACTGAGGTGAGACAAGGCACCGAACCCCCAACTGCTCCCCAGGCGTCGCATGCAAAAAAGGCTGCCCACTGCTGTGTGTGTGTGTGTATGGTTAAATGGGTTAAAAAGAGCACAAATTCCGAGTATGGGTCACCATACTTGGCTACACATCACTTCACAAAATTCTACTTTGATACCAATAGCAGGTGAAGTATCACAAATCTCAATACCAATATGGAAAAACACAGACTCAGGTCACTGAATACCTTCTTATACAAAGCTCTTTATAAATGAAATAAACCAAAGCAAACAAATAACTTGAACATGACTTTACATGTTCTGTGCCAGTTGGGAGTCAGGAGGCAAACTGCCGATGTCTTAGTGTTAATGTCATAAGCTTCCTCACAGACATGCACAGAAGTGTTAGTTAGAGCAGCTATAGTTGTATCCCAGAACTGTAGAACACACAGTACATGATTATTGTATAAAGTTAAAAGCAGAACATCTCAAGTGACTCAAACTTGGCCTTTGGAATAATATTGGTTTTATATTTGCTTTTATTTTGATATCTTCTCTACAGCGTGCGCTGCACCACATGAGACGCCTCTATGACTGTCCTGCTTGTGTGTGTTTGACTTTCTGAAGCTGGAGAGGCTTGGAGTGATGGGCAGGACAACATGAGCAGTGAGTTCCTCTGCTGTAGGATCTCATTATTTACAGAGATTCCATCCAGGTACTGCTTGAGAAGAATCCTCAGCTGCTGGTTCTCCCATCCGAGGACCTTCTTCTCCCGTTCTAAACACAAACGTTCCAGTAGAACCTTGTTGTAACGCTGCCAGAACTTTTCTAGATCTGTGTAGTCCATCATTGTCTAACAGCAGAGGAGAGGTGAAGGGACAAATATTTTTTTAAAAAAGCAAGAGCTGGAATAATGAGTCTTGGATATTAATGTTCCAAATGTTCCATTGTTTAAATTCTTTAGATTTGTTGTGTTTTGGACATCAGTGAGTGTGTGATGGAGAGATGGAGTGTGCTGTGTGAGGTATAACACTATAATAACTGAGGTGAGTTGTGAAAGTATGCGTTTTACCTGTGCTAGCTCTTCAGACATTGCCTCCACAGCATGTGCTTTCTCCTGACTCAGTTCCTCAGCATTTAAAGATGTTGTGTAAAAGGGAAGCACCTTCTCCTGCTCAGTTTCAAGCTTGCGACACACATCAGCCAGACGTAACAACGTCTCTCCCTGAAGAAGAGAAACAAAGGGGATGAACATGTAGAAAATCAGCCAAATATCCAGCTTGTTATGTTTTTAAAATGGCTGGTTTTTTTTTTGTTTTTGTTTTTTTTAAATCTGGCTGCTTTATTTTATGAAGCTCACCAGAGGTGTCAGTGTGTAATAAATGTGTGTACCTCTCCTATAATATCCTGTAGTTTCTTAATTGTGTTATCGCTGTATATAGTGTGATTAGCTAGCTGTGTCCTTTCAGCTGCCTGCGCAGAGCAGAGCTTAGCTCTCAGCTGTTGGACTTCCTGTGTAATTTCCTCACATTCTGCCCGAAGGCCACACACAGATGCATCATTCTCCCTCTGATTGGAGCTCAGATGAGAACGCAGAGCTTTGATGGTGCCCTGCATGCACACAAAAGACATAAGCAGCAGTTACACAAACCAGTTATGCAACCTAATCTTCATAAAGACTCATTTAAATGCATTAGATTCATTGAATTACAAAGATATGTTTTGTTCACGTGTATTTTTCATTCCCTGACCTGCAATTTCTGCATGTGCCTCCTCTTCAGGTTTCTTTTCTGGATGGCGCATTGCAAATTTAGAGCTGTTTTCTTTCGATCCTCAGTGGCGTTTTTGTACTTCCGCAGTTCTCGTAGGTACCACTGCCGCAAATCCTCCAACATGCTTTCCATTACATGCTTCGTGCCAATATACTGAACAAATGCAAATCAAAGAAACTCTGAATCAACGCAATTCATTCTACAGAAGTTTTACTGAAGCACTTTAGCTTTTTACTTTTAAAATCTACTGGGTTGTATCCTGTCTTTCATACAGTATGTCGCATTTTGTAGTGTCAGCTATTTTCTATAGTCTGGTTTTGCTAAAAATGAAGACAGTGAGAAATATAGTACCCGGTTTTTGATGTCATCACTTGCAATCTGATAGTCCTGTCGGGCCTCACTGTCTAATTCAGCATAGCGCTGCTCCAAGGCAAAGTTTTCTGCCTTGAGGTAGTCACTCTCCTTCCGATGCAGATTCAAAAGTTGTTTCCTGAATAAAACACAACACACTCAAAGCACTGGACTTTGCTGGACAGATGAAAAATCTATCCACACGCCTGTGTTGTAGTCAAGTCACTTGATCTCAAATCAAAGTCAAGTCTCAGGTCAGCAGGATCTATTTAATCAGAGGGACTTTGGATGTCTCTGTGAAATGTAGTAGGATACTTTGGGTATAGTTTAATGTTAATGAAGAAATAGCGACTTTCACGCAGCCTGTTATGCACATTCAAACGGGAAAAATTCAGTTCAAGTCAAAATCAGAGTCCCCTTTAAATCTAATCTGAGTATGAAGTCATCATGGATGAGTGAATCCAAGTTACAAGTCATGAAATTTGTGTCTTAAGTTTGTACTTATGTTCAGTACTCCAGTGCTACATCACTTTATATATACAGCTTAACGCATAAGACCAAGTGAAAAGCGTGTGTGTGAATGGAAACGGTGTCTGTGTACCTCTCTGTGTTGTACTCAGTCCTGAGTTCCTTAAGACTGCTGTTCCAGTGTGACTCTAGTGCTGCCAGTCGGCTTTTCTGTACCTCCAGCAGATGATCCACACACTGGAGATGAGCCCTGTGAGCCAGTTCTGACTGCTGCTCCGCTTCGCTCAGATCACACACCAATAACTGCAACATTTACACACACATTACGTTACGGTGCCTGGATCGACATGCTTCAACACATGTACCACTTCATCTACAACATCTGGACCTCCCCACCTTAATGACATTGTCCTTGCAGTCCACAACTCTTTTTAAAGTTTGGTTGAGTATTGCGAAATCTTCACGCAGCTCTGCCGCTCGAGTCTGGCGCAGGTTCGAACGCCACTGCTGGTTCAGCTTGTGCAGGTTAACTGTGCTGTTCATAATGTGGGTCTAAACAATGGTTTAATAATTAGTGCTGTGATTTACACAAATAACCATAATGTAATAAATACTAAAATACCTCAATTTTCAGGTGAGGACATAACAACACACACACACACACACACACACACACACACACACACACACACACACACCTTGAGGAGCTGTGTCAGCATCTCTCCTTTTCTTTGGGTCATTTCTTCTTCAGACTCAGCCTTCTGCTTTCCACCTCCTCTCTTATTGCCTCCTTCCTAACTGCTCTATTTCAAACCTGTCCTGAAAAAAAAGAAAACCAAAAAAATATACCCAAAAACAAATACCTTATTACATTATTTATATTTACACTGTTGCCTTCCAGGTAGTTTATTACAGATAAGACACAAAAAAATGCAAATGGCAACAGCACATAATATTTAATCTGCGTTTAGAAGGTTCCACTAAACCAACAACTCTCTCTCTCTCTCTCTCTCTCTCTCTCTCTAGAAATTGTCATGAGTTCAATAATGTGAGTTTTGTTCAGAACATATACTTACATATACTGTATAATATACAATTTTCAGAAAAAATATAGTTATATGTAAATTCATGAATAAAGAAGTCGTTCCTAACATTACTACTAAATTAAATTTAGCAGATATTATTCTATTGTCACCTGAGTGCAAATCAGTTCTGTCTTTCTTTTATCACCCAAACAGAATTGTGTACTATTTATAGTGAATTTGACCACTGGCTTTAATTACACATCATACTGTTTATCCTTATATTATCTAACTTGCTAGCAAAATGTTTGAATTATCTAACAGTTAGCTTGCTTGTCATGTTGGCTACTGGATTACACAGAATAATAGCCTAGTTTTAGCTGCTAGTACTTTGTCTTAATTTCTATGATAAAAAAGTTACTACTAGACATTATGTTAGTGAAATAGCTTAGCTGCTAAAGTAAAAGATGCTGGTGGAGATAACATTAGAAAAGCTAACTACTTAGCAACATCAGTGCAGTGCTGTGGTAAGGTAGCTGTCCAGATTAGCTAATGATGCTAAATAAGGACATATGAACAGCCAAATGCTAATTTCACTTTGGTGTGAATAAACACTCATTAAATTTCAACCTGCCTGCAAAGTCTCACCGAGTATCCCTGACGATTGTTTACAGTTACATTTCTTGTTTATGTTGATTGTTTGTATATATATTAATTGTTTCTAGGCAACCCATGGTGAACCTGAATAGGTTCTGCTGGGTCCTAATTCCAGACAAGGTTGGTTTCGTGTTATTTAATTGATATAGATGTGGCTGTAGCCATCATAAAACCTCACTGTGAAATCTTCTGTACAGTGTAGCTTAGAAAGTGTGGCACAGGTTGTAAACTTCCAGTACTTGTTAATTAGTCTCATATTTCCAGTGTTAGTTCCAGTGGACAGAATTTATACAGCTAAAATGGCTGATCAAGTGTATACTGTATACTGCTACAGAGGGATAGTATAAATGAAATGCTTATAGTGATATTGATATCTGACTTGTGAACAAATTGCTGTTTTAAACTGAACTCCTTTGTGAACCTGGCAGATTTTGCCAAGTGGTGCTGGTTTTTACCTTAAAATCTTTATGATTGTACTTGTTCTGCTTCGTATCCCTTATGAATTCCTTATACAGTTGGATGGCAAATTGTTTAGGAGTAAATGGACAACATTCATTTGTTCATTAGTCTTCTGCAACTTTATTCTGAGAACACTGGGCACAAAGCAGGAGGACGATGAGAGGAAACCAGAGAACCCGGAGGAACATGCACACAAACTCCACACAGACAGTAACCT